CTCATGCCTACCAGACCTGCCCTGAAGGCATTCTGAGACCACTAATTAAAAAAAAAAGAAAAATTTTCTTTCACTAAAAATAAATAAATAAATAAACAAACCTTTCCCCCTTTAAAAAAAAAAAAATCTGGAAGAACATATAAGAAGCAGTAATGCCCTGCAGAAGCAGCGACATCTAGAAAGACAGCAGAGGCGTCCAAGAGGAGCTACAGCACCAGGGAAAGAAACGGGACCTTATAAGCTTTCTTTAAGTGACAGTCACACCAAGTAAAAGAAGCTGGGCATGATGATACAAGTCTGTAACCCCAGCACTCGACAGGCTGAGGTAAGGGGATCATTGCAAGTTTGGGACCAGCCTGGGCTACAAAGTGAGCTCAAGGCCAGCCTAAATCACATAGTAAGACCCTATCTCCAAAAGACAAAAAAAGGTGGGCGGGGAGGAGGAAGAGGCGGGGAAGGGACGGGCCGGTCCCAGAAGATGGCGGAGGAGGGGGATTTCTGGTAGGTCCCTTCAGATAAGATGTAGTACTGTGAAACGTCTGTCTACCTTGAATTACAAATAATTAGCTTTTCAGCTCGGAAGCCTTTCCTTTTTTTTTTTTTTTTTCCAGCTTACTGAACTTATGAAACCATGGCAGAAGGAGAAACAGCATCACCTGGGCCCAAAAAGAGTGGCCCATATATCTCATCTGTCACTAGCCAGAGTGTGAACTTGGTGGTTCAAGGAGTAGTCTTGTTTTTTATTGGAGTATTTCTTGCTTTAGTGTTAAATTTGCTCCAGATTCAGAGAAATGTGATGCTATTTCCACCTGATGTGATTGCAAGCATCTTTTCTTCTGCATGGTGGGTGCCACCATGTTGTGGCACAGCTTCAGCTGTGATTGGGTTATTATACCCCTGCATTGACAGGCATCTGGGAGAACCACATAAATTTAAAAGAGAGTGGTCCAGTGTAATGCGGTGTGTAGCTGTCTTTGTTGGTATAAATCATGCCAGTGCCAAAGTGGATTTTGATAACAACATACAACTGTCTCTCACACTGGCTGCACTCTCCATTGGACTGTGGTGGACTTTCGATAGATCCAGAAGTGGTTTTGGCTTTGGAGTAGGAATCGCGTTCTTGGCAACGGTGGTCACTCAGCTGCTAGTCTATAATGGTGTTTATCAGTATACATCTCCAGATTTTCTCTATGTTCGCTCCTGGTTACCATGTATATATTTTGCTGGAGGCATAACAATGGGAAACATTGGTCGACAACTGGCAATGTATGAATGTAAAGTTATTGCAGAAAAATCTCATCAAGAATGAAGAAGGAAAAAATATATCTTTTGTACAGAAAAACACGAAGAAAAGGGCATGTAAATTACATCGACAAATTTTGGACTGTAAAATTGCTAGGATGCAGTTTTTCCCGATTGGTGTGTATAGACACACATACAGGCACACGCACACACACACGTACAAAACATTACTACTGCAATCTGTGATTACTCTATCTGTAAATCAGTTACAAACCTTTATGTATGTGACCTAAAAACTGTAAGATATGTGCATTACATGAAAAATGTTGATTAGTAGTAGATACGTTTTTTTTAAAATTAATTTTTTAAACATACCATACATTATAATGTTAATGTGCCAAATTATTCTATTACTATCATTAAGAGTCTAAGAATGCTTTGAACAATTTATAAACAGTGAAATAAAATAAGAGGAATGCCAAAAATAAAAAGCAAATGGGGAGCTGGTATTTTCTCTGTCACTTACTTTTCTCTGTTGTGCCTTTTGTGTTTTTCAAATCACTGCAGTTATGAGTGCCCAAGTGTATGATTGGTGTTTATTTTGATGTTGTTTCACAGAGTTTTAAATATTTCAGACTATAATGAAATTGAACGTTCATAGAGAAGGATTTCAAACCTGCGTTACTGGATGGAGCCAAGAAAGCAATTTTCTGTTTTGGCAGGTTTTATTAGAGTTATACGTGATGAATAGATGATAAGTACTATTAAACTGTTTTGAGTGTGAAATTGGAAGAAAATATATAATTAGAACTTAGTATATTTAACTAGAATAAATCTATGTTTTGGAACAACAAAGTGACCTCCTGCACTGTTACAAAGTATATAGTGATATTAGCTGTTATTTGCAATACAGAATCTCACACTGCTTTTGTACATGGGACAAATAGGAAACTTCAAACAGATTGAAATGAAGTTTGTAATTCTATTGGGTTCTATAATCCATTGGTTCTGTAAAACAAACCACATTACCTGGGCTTAGTCTTCTGATTCATTCACTGTCAGTGAAATGCCTGGATCTGCAACCTTATCAGATGCAGTCTGGGGAATGGATGGGTGCACACTTTCTTATGAACTCGTGTCCATTGGTGAATAGTTCTGCTTGTTAAAGGATGAATTGAGATGGTATTCTATGCATGTTAAAGATTTGGAAACAGTTTTGGGCATGCCTTTTGAATAACTAGAGCCATTTAAGTATGGTTTAAATATATTCTTAACAAAGTTTCTCCCTCCTTGTTCCTTTTGAAATGATTGACAGTGTCTGATCCCCAAGAGCAAAATCTGCTGAGTATTTTGGTGAGCATGTGTGTTGTATGTGTGATTGAATGAGAGCAGATATGTATGTGCATGTGCTCATGTTCTCCTAGAATGTCATATAGATATTTTAAAATGTTTTAAAACTTGCTGTCAGACTGAAATCTTGTATGCCAAACTTTAATGTTTTGTGTTTTAAGGCTGAAAGTGTGAAAATGCTAAGAGGATTTCATGTTGAATATGTATATACAAGCTTAACTATAGTGGTGGTAAATATACTACTATAATTTATTATTTTATCTTCCAGATAATGTTATTCATTTAGGACAAATAAAATATATTTTTAGAATAAAAAAAAAAAAACAAAAAAAAAAGGTAACTACAGAGATGGCTCAGTGATAGTGATTGGTAAAAGAGTCAAGATTCCTTGAAAACTTTAATTATTGTGAAATATGGAACATGTTCAAAAAATTCAGACACACACAAAAAAAGACTAAAAAAAACAAAACAAAAAACCCACAAGAAATAATAACAGCTAACAATTTTATTTATGATACACCAAGTACTGTTTTAAGCATTTTACCTACATTAATTCTTTATTCCTCAAAATAACTCTATGTAAGAGAGGTTGCTATTTTCCTTACTTTATACACATGCCAATGAGGCACTGTAGCAGCTGTCTCTATGACAGCCACCATCTATTCCTCTTCTTGTACCTACAGAATACTCTTTAAAAGAAGGAGACTCTGATTCTTCACTCTTAAGTGTAAGCTGGCCTTACTAATGGGCTTGACTAACAAAACAATTTCTAAAGCTAGGACATAAGAAGTCACACAGACAAGGTTTCTTAAATTGAGTATTCATTCTTGGGACATTTTTTCTCAAAGCCAGTTACAACACTATGTGAATCCAAATATACATGAAGAGGCTACATGTAGGGGTTCAAATGAATCAGCCTCAGCTGAGTTCACAGTTGCCATCAGGTATCTATCTTCTAGCCACATGTGTGTGCCCGTGTGGACTGCCTGCCCCACTGAGCCTTCAGATGACTCAGCCCTGCCGCTATCTGAAAGCAACTGAGTAAGAGAAGGCTCAAGAGAATCACTCAATCCAGCCCATCTATTCTTCCCACAGAACCATAAATGATGCTTTTTCTAAATGTAATTTATGATGCTAAGTTTTGGGGTAGGTAATTTGTTATGGAGCAAAAATAGAGCTGGGAATGTAACTCAGTCATAGAGCACTTGCCTAGCATGTGTAGAGTCCTGGCTCCAATCCTGGGTACA